ACCTCCTCCCTAGGGCTGGCTCTCACAGTATCAGAAAGAGCTGCCATGGGAGAAAAGTAGTCACCACCCTACCTAGGTGTAAAGCCTATAGAGTACAACGATGGTCAGCGTGGCAAGATATGCCCAAAGGTGCAGTAGTGGCACTTATGTCGGGGGTAACAAAATACCACCCAATTGGACTTAAGACTCACTCAGTAGGAGGGATTTCATGCCTGGTACCATAGAACTACCCAGGGCTGATGAAGCCATGGAACATAGGGGAGAACCTACTACTGCTATGGAATGATCCGTCTGTACACTGTGTGAAGGTATGTCGATATGACTGGTTTAATAAACAAGCTGACTGGCCAATAGCTGGGTAGGGTAAAGTTAGGTGGGAAAACCAAACTGAGAATGATGGGATGAGGAAGGGTGGAGTCAGAGGAGTTGCCAGCCAGACGGAGAACAAGTCAGACACACAACATGGGATAGAGGTAAAAGCCATAGATTAATAGAAATTAGTTAAGTTGTAAGAGCTAGTTAGTAACAAACCTGAGCTGTTTGCTGAGCATTTATAATTAATGTAAGCCTCAGTGTTTATCGAGAGTGGCTGCAGGACAGGAAAACTCCACTTAAATACTACTGCCACTTTCCTAGACTAGTATAATATTTAACTTCAGTCTCAAGATTTATCTGTATATTCACAGAAAAATGTAGACCTCGCTCCTCATCGAAGACACTTTTACAGCAGATGAAAACTATTACAAAGATCTATAGTCAAAATGCAGAGAACAAATGACAGGGGGTGCCCAGCCCCAACTGATGCATCTACAACACAACCCCTATACCTAAGACCCAGGGATCATCTTGGAAGAGGAAACAGATGGAGTGTAAGAGCCAGAGTAGCAGGGAGTCTGCTGTGAGATAGTGCCTTGTACATATGACAAGGAAACTGCACCCACAAAACCTCAATACTATGATCACCTGAACAAAGACACACCAATTGGCATGTCAGTGTGAAAGGGGGAAATCTCACAAGGCCCCACATTTAGATGGAGAGCTACAAGAAACTTAATGACTGCCAAGAGAAGGAGAATCAGTCTTCCCCATTGATGAGTTCCCACAGGCAAATTGTTTATCCAATACCAAATGGTCATTTCTAAAAACATACATTTGAGCAACACTGAGTGAACTCGGTAGACTGCGTATACGTGTGTATGTATGTAGCAATAGTAAAGGAAAAACGGTCATGAATTCAAAAGGGGACACAGGTAGAGTTGGCTGGAGAAGGGAGAACGGTATAAATACAGAATCATCAAAAAATGAATAAAAGTTAAAAATTAAATTAAATTCCTCTGTTCACGGGTACCCTGCACCCTAAACTTTTAGGTGTTTCTTATTTGCTTCTCCCACTGCCTTCGCCCATTCCCTCTTGTTGGTCCTCTCTCTTTCTCCAAATAGTGTTCGATTTGCTTTCCTGGTGGGTCTGTGTTCCATTATCCGCTCCTTCCCTCTCCCCCACCCTTTACACATGTTGCTTTCATGGATCCCCCTTTATACTTTCTCGTGTGTGTGTGTGTGTGTGTGTGTGTGTGTGTGTGTGTGTGTGTGTGTGTGTGTGTGTGTGTGTGTGTATTTAAATCCAATTTGAACATAGGAGAGAAAATGTGGTATTTGTCTTTCTGTGTCTGACTTACTTTGCTTAACATGATTTATCATCTCCAGTCTAATCCATTTTCCACAGCTCAGTAAAATTCCATTTTGTGTGTGTGTGGCACATTTCATTTTTAATTAATTTTTGTTTACATACCAATCCCAGTTCCCTCTCCCTCCTGTCCTCCCATTTCCCCCACCATCTCCCATTCCATCCCATCCCATGCCCATCCACTCCTCGGGAGGGTGAGGCCCCCCATGGGGGCTCATCCAAGTCTGTCACATCATTTGGGGCAGGACCTAGCACCCCATCCCCCACCCTCTTCCCCGTGTATCTGGACTGAAATAGTAACCCTCCATAGGGAATGGGCTCCCAAAGCCCATTTGGTGTGGCACATTTTGATTGCCTGCTCATCTTTTGGTGAACAGCTAGGCTGATTCCATTTTCTCTGCTACTGTGAATAGCACAGACATGGATGGACTAGTGTCTCTGTCACATGGTGTGTACCATGGGTGTGTAAATGTGTGTGTTTGTTGCCTTTGATCCCTTTAGAGTATACAGCCTATAGTGGTATATCTGGATAGTGTAGTAGTTCTACTTGTAGCATTTGGAGGAACATCAAGCTGCTTTCTATTGTGTTTAGACTAATTTACACCATCAATATATATTCTTTTTCCATACAGACTTGCCAGCATTTTTTTCTTAGTCGTTTTAACCAGACAGTCATAATCTGTATTTTCTTGCATTTTTCTCTTGTGGTTTTGAATGTTGTTCCTTTGTATTTTTGAAAGATTGAATATAGCAAGTCCTGGAGAGGCTCTTCTCTGGCCATGTCTGTGTTTGGGTGCCTAATTCTTATCGATTTGAGAATTCCATTGAGTGTATTGCCTGTGCCTTTAGACTTTATCTCAGCTGCTTCTATCTCAGATTCTTAGACTTCTTACATTGATCATATTTTGATGTTTGTGGATGATGTAGCCATACTTACTCATAGGTTGTTTTGTTTTGGGTATTTTTGTTTTGTTTGTTTTTTTTTACAGTTCTGGAGAGTGAACCTAGGGCCCCCGTATATACTATGCAAGCCATTTCCTACTGAGCTATAGCTTCCTCGTTTGTTTTTTTTTTTTAGGGTTTTTGTTTTATTTTGTTTGGGTCAAGTCACATTGTACTTCAAGCTGGCCTGTAACTGTAATAATCCAACCACAGCCTCCAGAGTATTGGGATTACCTGACAAATTTTTTCTACTTTATTGGTACCTGAATGTAGATACCCTACTTCCATCTCTTAAAACAATTTTTCTGGTCAGTCAACTTGATCAGTGGTGATGCTTTTCCCTGTATTTACTGTTTGATTCATTGGTTGGTTTATTTGTCTTTTCATTTCCAACATTTTTCCAACTCTCAATTTCCTTGAATTTCTGGTTCATGTTGCTAAGTGGTTTTTGTTTGTTTGTTTGTCTGTCCATCTTACCGACTTTCTCATCCATTTTGTAGGTTTTCTTGTCGGTGTTGATGGCTTTCTTCCAACTGGAGGTTGAGACACTTGTTCTTAGCCCTGGTGGTATTCCAGGAGAGCACCATGGAGCCCTTAGAGACTCTTTGTGATTACACTTGTGGGTTAAATAACATCCACACTGCAATAACATTAACCATAAACCCATATATATAAACCATAATTTCATAAATGCAGGACAAATTGGAAAAAGTAGAATTTACAAAGAAGAGAAAATAGACGTAGCTTGAGTGTCTCAGTGGGCCTATAAGAAAAATTGCCAATTGAAAAGCAAAGAAGTTTGTACATAGGCAGAGAGAGAGAGAGAGAGAGAGAGAGAGAGAGAGAGAGAGAGAGGAGGGGGGGGGGGGGGGGGGGGGGGGGGGGGGGGGGGAGAGAGAAAGGAAAAAAAAAAACCCTTAGTTGAAAGAGGGAAAAGAAGGCACCACACAGTTCTTTGAAACGCAAAGGACCGGGGAAAGAGTTTTTTTTTAAACACAAAGGGCGGGGGAGGAGGCGTACTTAGTCGCTGCCCTGTACAACACTGCCATCTAATGGCCAGAAAAACTGAAAATTGCGTGTATACTAAGGAAACTGGCTTTTAGGCATAAAGCCCTGAAAACTAAAGCGGCAGGAGCCAAACAAGATAAAAGGACACTTTGGGACCCCGGGAAAGGAGACAGTGATCTTTAACCTCCAGAACAGCTAATGCACGGATCGAAAGTGTGGAGACGCCGGCAGTAGTTCAGCATGTCACCTGCCCCACACCCTAAGCTACATGTAAAAACTTGTAGAGACGACAAAAGCACAAGCAAAAGGCAGGAAAGTGCCCATAACCTTATCGGGGACCTCGGCGCCAACCCGCCACCTGCCAATCCAACTAAGTGCTTGCCGTGTCTGTCCTTTGTGTCCCGAACCGGCTGCTATTGCTCTAACTCCGAGGGCGGGACTGAGGAAGGCAGCCTTGCCCGGGCAGGTTCCCTGGACGCACTTAGTGCCTATAAGCGTGTATTCTGTAGTCCCTCTAATTTATTCCGTCTGGCTCCCCGAATCCTCCCTTCTGGTGGTGACGGGAAGAACTTAAGAAAATGGTGCTTTTCTTTGGGTGTCGGTAAATTTAGGTTTCTGTGACCAGTAGATGGCACTGCGGTCTCGGGAAAGTGCTTTGCTCTCCGTTCTCTCCCGCCCTTCGCGCTTTAAAAAAATGGAATGATGGTTTCTTTTTTTCTATTGAAATGATCTTTGCTTCCTTCTTCCCAGCTTGAGTTAGGCCTGCTAGAATCTAATGATTGTGTTTTATCTTTGTGAACTCTTTCCTGCCCCAAATCCACCACCTGTGCTTTACATTGATTTTTTCCAGCAGTTGGGTGGTCTGGGCACTCCACCTCCTCAGATTTGGGCTTCTGTGAAATGCCTTTGTCAATCTTTCCTCAACTTGTGCTTTGTTCTAGGGACAATTTTATTAAGTTATTTCAAAGTAGGTTTCACATCACCTCTTCACATTTCTACAGAAGCATATTGATGGAAATTCTTACATTCCCATTACTGCATGGTCGCCGTTAATTATATTTCATTAAAATTTCACCTTTTTTTCATTTATACCGGTACATTGAAAATACATGGACATCAGTATTTGCACCATTGCTCTATCATAATTTTGAAATCATTGCACTGAATTCCATTGACATATAATTACGATGTGCAATTTTAAATTTTTCATATACTCTGTTTTATGTTTCCTTGTCCTAATAGTCATTTTTTAAAAAGAGTGGACATTTTTTCCTCTAATGTGACAAAATTGTTTAATAACTGATATGAAAAACAGAAATAAACCTTAATACTCCATCTCAATGTCAGATATCTTTGCTTAACTCGTTCATTTTTTTTTTAATTTGTTTTCTAGAATACCAACAGAATAGTGCCAGCAATCTCTCTCCCTTGTTAACGAGCTTTGGTGTGGAGATGGCCCAGTTGGTAAAATTCTTTGTGTGGAGATGGCCCAGTTGGTAAAATTCTTTGTGTGAACATGAGGACCTAAGTCCCGATTTCCAGTGCATACACATGGAAAAGCCTGGCATTGCAGCTTGTGTACAAAGTTCGCCAAGGTATGTGCTGCTGAGGGAAAGGCTTTTGCTGTTTATAGGAGGGAGAATGCAGCCAGAGAAGAGTCCAGAGCATGGCCCGCAAACTGGACAGGGCCATGAGGACTTAGGGAGCACAAGAGGAGGACCAAAAGAGGACCAAGAGAGCCACGGCCAAAATGGCAGGGTTAGGGGGCCAACAGACTCTTTGGTGTGCTACTAGGCAACACAGATAGCCATCTGTGAGTTTCTTTTGGACCTGACAGCATGAATCCCTAGCCCTAGAGCTTTTGTGGAGACAAAAGACTCCTGGGATTTTTCTGGCCTGTGAGTCTCAGGTTTAGTTAGAGACCCTGTCTCAAATAATAAGGTGGAGAAACACCAGGCATTGACGTCCATATATGCTAACACACACCCTCATGCCCATGATCCAGGAAAGTCAGGACAGAAACTTCAGGCAGGCAGAAACTGATGCAGAAGCCATGAGGGTGGGGTGGGGGTGGGGCGGTTGCGGCTTACTGGCTCGTTCTTCTTGGCTTGCTCAGTCTGCTTTCTTATAGAACCCAGGAGCACCAGCCAGGAATGGCACCACCCACCATGGGTTGGGCCCTCCTCCCCCATCAAATCATTAAATAAAAGAAAAAATGCCCTCCAGGCTTGCCTACTGCTCAGCCATACTGGAGGCATTTTTTCAATTGAAGTTCCCTCCTTTCCGATTATTCTAGCTTGTGTTCAGTTAACATAAAACTAGCCTGCACAAAGACTGCATTTGCATTTGGAGGGTTTCAATTTCATGGGATTGGATAAGGAAGGAGGGTTTTGTTCTGTTTGTTTTGATTTGGGTTTTTGTTGTTGTTGCCTTTTTTTCTGAGACATGGTCTTTTGCAAACCAGGCAGGCTTCAAATTCACTTTGTAGACAGGGGTTGGTTGGCCTTGATCCTCTAGCCTTCACTATTTTTTCTTTCTCCCTCCCACTGCCCCCCACCCCCAGACTGAGTTTCTCTGGCTGTCCTAGAACGCTCTTTGTAGAGCAGGCAGACCTTGAACTTGCCTCTGCCTCCTGACTGCTGGGATTAAAGGTTGCACCACCCTTGCTCTGCTGTCTATTATGATTTTTTAAAAGTTGAGGAGGGCTGCAAAACTTGTAAAGGCTCTGTCATGTTCTGTGTATTTGTGGGGTTCCTCTGCAATATGAATTTCTGATGTTCATTGAGGTGTAATGAATGGGAAAGGATTTGCTACATTCTTCACATTTTTAGGGCTTTTCTCTGGTATGAATTTTCCAGCGGAGGAAACTTTAAATGATTTGCTACATTCTATGCATACTTAGAGTTTCTCACTGGTATGTATTCGTTACTGTTTTAGTAAACAAGGTAAAAAATAATTTTTAAAAAAACCAACTTGGCCATAGACTGTACCTTTGTGAAGTGTCTCACCAGGGTAAGTTATCTGATGTTGATTGACATGTAAGAACTGTAGGGGCATTGCCATGCCCTTTGCAGTTGTAGGGGTGCCCTTTTGTTTATATGGCAACTAGCTCTTGTTTCTTTATTTCTCATGGCATTTTTTTTCTTTGCTCCAGAAATGTGACGAGGTGGGGCTGGAGATGTAGCTCAGTTGTTAGCGCTATGCAGTGAGTTTGAGGCCAGCCTGGACTATGTGAGAATCTCCAAAATAAAGAAATCAAATGATATAATTAGTTAAATAAAATAAAGAAATAGAAATATGTCCAAGTATTATAAGGCCCAGGTAGGCAAGGTTTCTGGAATTCTCTAACACTATCTTCCTAAAAATTCCATTGATCAGGGTCCAGGCCCACCCCACGACCCTCCACCCCACCCTACCCCCACATACCTATTCCTTTTTAGAAAGAAATGACCTCATCCTTGAGTGACATCAGTTCCAATATGAGGAAACTCTTTTTCAGAATCTCATTTCACCGCCATTGTCTCCAGTGAACACCAGTGAGGCCCAGTCCTTAGCATTCTAGGGGTCCTTGGCATCCTGCCTAAGGATTCCGCCTCCACCTGAAGTTCCTAGGGAGACAGACTCCAGGAGAGATATTTCATGAATTGTTCACATGTGATAGACAAAACCCATTTCTTGGCTGCCACAATGTCCTGGTGTCTCCTTTGGGCATCTCCCGATGCTGGCCCATCACAGGTTGACAGCAGCTGTGACAGAACCACCTCACACTCACTCCTGCATGGATGAATAATCCAACCCAGAGCATACACAGCAATTCAAGTAGCTATAGGATAGACCTTCTAGGCCCATTTGATACTTACCTGTGAGCCCTAAATAGCACATTAGAATTATTTTAAAAGTGTATCTCGGGCCTGTGGTCCTACTGCAGCCAGAGTCTATGGTGATGTCCATGGCTCCAGTTGCCATAGAGAGCTATGCAAATTCCTGGGGCCTGGGCTGCCAGTTGGGGATGTGTTGGTGTCCAGGGTTATTTTGGTGTCTCAGGGCCCCAATGCTGTTGGGGTCATGCTAATCTGGGTGGCCTGTGCTGTCACCTGGGACAATGGTGACATCCAGACCCCAGCAGCAGCCAAGGACCATGTCTAGGTCTGTGGTCCTACTGCAGCCATGGTCTGTGCTGAAGTCTGTGGCCTATGTTACAACCAGGAGCCACACCACAACCTGGGGTCTGGGCTACAACTAGTGGCCATGTTGGAGTCTGGGGCCATGCTGCCGCTGGAGCCATACAGATCTGAGTGGCCTGTGCTGCCACCTAGGACCATGGTGTCATCTAGTCCTAGGCTGCTGCTGAGGGTCATGTCTGGGTCTGTGGCACTATAGCAGCCATGGGCTGGGTTGATGCCTGTGGCTTCTGTTGCCACTGCAGGCCATGTGGATATCTGGGGTCAGGTTAGTCACTGGAGTTCATGTTGGCATCAAAGGGCCATGCTGCAGCTAGGGTCATACATACCCGAGGGGGCCTGTGCTTCCAACTGATGCCATGCTCATGTCTGGGCCAGAGCTGCAGCTGAGGGCCATGTCTGGGTATGTGGCCATACATCAGTCAGGGCCTAATCAAACAGCATGGCCATTCAATCTAAACTAACTTTAAAACTAACAAATACTTTTCATTGGATCAGATATACCGAGCCATGATGGAACCTCCCGCAGAGTTAGGGTTGGAAAAGGGTATTGTTTTTGTCTTTTCAAGAGAATGAAGGCATCCAGGTAAGGATTCTGAAGACCACTGGGCAAATGAGACATCTGAAGAAAAAGGACAAATCATTCAGTCAAAAAATGTCCAAAGAAAAGGAGTGAATAGGACTATTAGTAAATCATATCTCCAACAGGATAGAGTTTCATAAATCTTCCCAAATGTTTGTTTCTGCTTTTCTCTACAGACATATAATGCAAATGGACTCTCTGTAGTCCCAGTCCAATAAAAAATTAAGGTTGGATTTGGAGTTAGCGAATGGCTCTCTCCTTCTCTAAACCCAAGCATGCTTCTTTTTTTTTTCAATCAGAATTTTAAGTTTTTTATTAGTGTATATTCATTGTACAAAGAGATAGGCTTTATAAGACATTTCCATTCCAGTGTAGCATGTGTGTTGTCCACATTCACCACATTTCAGGATCTTTAATTATTCACTTCAGGTTTTCCTGGTCTTCACTGAATGGAGACAGAGTGTCTTCCTAGGGCATGGGGAGGGTTGTGAAGATTGATTTCATATTCAAACATCACTGAGATATGGTGTATCCATTTAGTTGGTGTGACTGGGAGGGTGTGTGTTGACTGTAGTCTGTCCCAAGAAGATCCATTTCAGTAAAACCAAAAAGGCAGAGAGAACCCTCCCCTTTCCTGGGGAAAACCATCTCATCCTACCCCCACACCCCACCCCCCCCCCCGCCCCCAGGTTCCCAGGTCTTCTGTGCCCACACCAGTGCCTCCTCCCCCAGGTTCCCAGGTCTTCTGTGCTCACACCAGTGTCCCCTCCCCCAGGTTCTCAGGTCTTCTGTGCTCACACCAGTGCCCCCTCCCCCAGGTTCTCAGGTCTTCTGTGCTCACACTACAAGTCCCCTCCCCAGGTTCTCAGGTCCTCTGTGCTCACACCAATGCCCCCTCTTA